CCGAGTCGAAACTTTGACTGGTAAAGGGGACGGTAACGTTGCTGTTTTTTTGGAGGCACTATTCATGATTATCATCGACACTAAGCGAGCCAATGGGATGCATTTTGGTGTGCGCTTTCACCTTCGTAAAAGTCGGACGAAAAATAGGAGGTGAAGACTCTTGAACTGCAATAGATTTCAGCCATGCTGAGGTGAAAAAGATATTTTTTAGCTGCTGAGCAGATCCGCGAAAGTTGCATAGTTCACTTGTAATTGTACAGAACATCTGTGCGCTACGTACTCGAATGATCGAGCTCATGCACACACGGACATTCTCGTCGCGTCCCAGTAAGCGCAGTGCAGCTTACTGGGAAAAAACAAAATTCCACATCACCGCGTCGGCTGTGAGCCATAATATTAAGGTGCCGCCACTTCTCTTCTGGTGGGGATTTGGCGAGTAGTGAATTCGTTTCTGCAAGAGAATCGAAGCACTTTGGCACGGGCATGAATCTGCGACAGCTTCCCCGTAGATCATGAGATTGTCCGAACCTGATAGCAATGCTATAATTAGGTTCCTCGATCAGAGCTCAAAAGGCAGAATCTGCGTGAGCCAAGGCAAAGGGTTTAGCGAAAAGACCGATTGTGTGTCGCGGTCTATAGAGTTGATATTTGACGCGACGGAAAGAGACGGTCAAATGTCAAGGTCCCGCGGTAGATGAGAAAAATTTGTAGCCTCGTTTTGTCCATTGGCAGGGCCAGTGAAGATTGAAGCGACCGGGTGTCGCGATCATCGCAATAAAGTGATGGAGCTTAAGAACGACTTTTCGCGTATAGAAGATCTCACACCTTAAGATAAGAAGAATGACTCATCGTTTTGAGGATGAGTACGGGTCCACCGTGTGGAGCAGAGAGTCTCAATTGGATCGTTGGAGTATAGGTATGGAGTCTATGTCGCACCCCCTATCCGAGGGTAACACGATGGTGGATATTCATCACCACATTAGTTTCCTTCAATATAGCATAATAGAGATCCGTGGAATCCTCAGCAATAGCTGAATCACCCTTACCACTCAGTATCTACAGCGACAGATTCATCCGTAACGGAGCTCCTATCCCCAAGCATCAAGTTTTCCAATCTGGTGACCTCACTGGCTTGCATTTTCGTATTTTAGTAGAAACGTTCTTCCAGCTTTATCAAAAATCTGACGGAGGTAGTGGCGGATGACTTACTACCTCGAGGACAACGATGTTCACTGTGATTCGAGTGAAAAAAATCTCGATGCTAACGCAATTGCGTCATACGACAATTACCCTTACTAATGAAATGTTTGATGTCATTTACGCTTTCTTCAGTGCGAAGCACAAAATCGGTTTAATGATAAAGATCAGATCTGTTAACGTGGCGACGAGTTTCTGTGTCATAGCGGTTAGTAGCAAGTGGCGAAGTGTGAATTCTTATAGTAAACTCAATGCTGCCACGACAACGGAGCAGGCAAAGGTTCGAACAGCGTTGTCGTCTGTATTTTGTTCGAAGCTCTTCTCCATAGAAATAAATAAATCACCGCTGATGACTGGCAGCTATATTACTCTCACTTTGGTACGTAATCCGAAGAGGATGCTGGGAGAGTGGCTGCTCGTATCACAGGTACTGTCTAGTACACCAATGACGCTAAGTCACCCGATGACGCTACGGTCATCGGGTGACTTCGTTGTTCGGTCACATCGCAGCTATTCTCAAACCTATCTATATTTTACATACGGTTATAGTTGTGCAGAGCACGGAAAGGCGAACATGGAGAACCGCATTGAACACTTGCGAGCAAAGCGTGAGTGAATGCGCTTAAATCAGCCAATAGAGACAAACGTGCCGTTGTCACGCGTGCTTTGCGCTGTGATGGATACCCTCCTTTAACGTGCAAGACCGTGGTGTGGAGTAAGTTGCTCCATGCATTGTGTTTGCGTTGAATAGCTCCGTACAAACCTCTACAGGCCTACCTTTATTTTACGTAAATAGTCTACAAGCCCCGATTGCCCTTGGTACCGCCATGTAGTGGATTCGCAAGAAAGATCGTCATTCTTATGGCACATGACGCAATAGCTGAGAGTCAAGACCAAGAAAAGCAAATCGCTGATGCCGGAGGCAAGAAAAACAAACACGAATATGCTCTAGGGCAAAAAATATTTGAATGGGGTTAACCTGGTTACTTACGGCTACGCTGTATTGACCCCCTTCATGATCATTTCGTAAAGGGATTAAACCATTTTCCTGAGTCTCTGAATAGAATATAGCACATCCTGTTTTTCGCGTCGGTTTACTATGGAATTGCACGATCCCACTCTTACTGTATAGTCGGATATGAATTATTGCAGACATAGCAACGTCTTTGTCATCTTCTGTAGCATAGCAACCATCTGCTCCAAAGCAGCGACGCGGTTCCGAACCGCATGGCGTGCATCGAGCCATACAGTGTGATGGCGAAGCTCAGCGAAGGCCGCCGGCATTTCTTGGTGATCAAGGGGTAGTCCCCTGCCTTGTGGAGCATTTGGTGGGCCAGTGGGTAGACCAGGGCTGATACCAGCACCTGGCGATGCGGAAGGTATACCTTAGGTTTGACATCAAGGATGACTTAGTTTTCACTTCGGCAGAATCGCTCTGGTGCCGTGGCCATACACGACTTGGAGAACCCTCAGCCTTCATCTTGTTCAAAAAGAGGCAGGATCGCCAATCACTGTGCACTCCTCACGAATGGAAAGAACTCGACCTTGCAGTCACTTGGACCCTAGGTTGTTAGCTGTAATAGCAATTTTATTGAGACGCGCATCGCTGTCAACAACAGGAACTTTTGTTGAAGAGTTGTCCTCATCGTGTCTTTAATGTTGCAAAGTCGAGCATAAGACGATGGTCCAAGCGGACGTTTGCCTTGCTAAATTGGCCAATAAAGTCTGAATACAAGTGAAGCAGCGTTGTATCCTCACCAAGTACGCAAATCGATTCCGACACTCAGCGGCATTCTCGGCAGCTTTTGATACAAAGTACGAAAACACGGAGTTTATATTTTTTACGGATATGACCGCTGGATAGCTCGAAGTCTCCCCTGATACGAACAGCTTCTGTATCGTTGCAAATAGCTACGTCGTCGCGACAGTTCCCACGGGGAAAGTTAAGATGGTTCTCCATCTTTCACGAGTGCATTTTCAAGTTGAGATATGGTTTAATGTAGTGGTGGATGCACTTTTGCGTCGCCAAGACTATTAACTGTTGCGCGGACGTCAGGAGCAGATTAATAAACGCGGCGGATGATATGATCTTAAGTAGAGAGTAAAGACACGCCGCATAGTTAGCGCTATGAACTGGTGGCCTTACTTGTATAAAGTAGTAAACACTTGTGTGCATATGTGCAAAGCGTGCCAAAG